ATTGCAGAGGCTGCGGACAGCTTCACAGAGCTGCTCTCAACCCACTGCACCACAGGGAGGCCACATGTACATAATATCCTTTTAATAAGGCTTTTTCTGCTTAAATCAGTCAGAACATCTATTATGAGGAATGAAGAACCTTAACTGATATCACTACCAAGTCAGGAAAAGAAGTTAGTTTTAAATTGTAAATAAACTCTGTTAAAATAGAAAGGAACTAATGTTAAAAAATTAACTGCTCCAGTTTGCAGCAACATGGATGGAGCTAAAAGGGATCATGCTGAGCGAAATAAGTGAGAAAGAAAAAGAAAAATACCGGATGGTCTCACTCATAGCAGGAATTTAGAAAACTTAAATAAGAGGCCAGGAAAAAGACTAATCAATATAAAGTAAAAATCAAAATCAACAAGCAACTATAAACCAGAGACACACTATGGGTGGGGAGAGGAAGGACTAGAGTCAAAATAAGGGGGGGGGGGTGCAATTGTGTGGGGAATATAACCATAATGAAAATGCATATATTGTGCAAAGATGAAAAATGATGTAAGAATTATATAAAATAAAATATTTAAAAAAAAAATTAACTGCTCCAAAGCTGAATATATCCTTTGGCAAAGCTCAGCTATTGCCACAGAATAGGTAAAACTACAGTGTAGCATGCAATTAATAAGTTAACCATAAACACTCATTAAAATCTTCACATTTCCCCAGGTTTCTACTTGTCTTGGCATTTTAAATCCTTGGAAATCAGGGCCTCCCTGGTGTTCTAGGGGTTAAGTACTATCCTGTTATGCTACAGACTGAGTTTGATCCCAGCCAGGGAGCTAACCCACATATGGCACAGCAGACCTCTCCTGTCTTGCCCGTTATTCTCCTTAGCAGTGTATTTTGGCCTGTCCTGCTCTGGCTCTGGTGAATCCTCTTACTCTCCTGCACCTCTGGCCTACACACCAGTTCTTGTCTGCACAAATAAATAAAAATAAATCTTAAAAAAAAAAGAAAACCCAATTTTATTACAAGGTCAAATATAATGATAATTCTACATTAGTCCTTGAAATTAATGAAAAGTTACTCTATCACAAGGATGAATTAAACGTCCACTTTTAGAAAAATGAACATCTCTACTATCATACTGTAATATATTATTATATCCATGAGTTTCCTGAGCATGCAAGCATCTGAATTTTGATAGCTAATAGAGAAAAATTAGACTATCAGATAAATTGATTTTAAAATACAGGCTAGGGGGGACTCTCTGGTGGCCCAACAGGTTAGGATGCAGCCTGTGAGGCTGTTGGCCACCTCTGCAGCATGAGTTCGATCCCAGGCTGGCCAGGGAGCAACCCACATGGTGCAGCAGACCTTTCCTGGCTCACCCACTGCTCCCCTCAGCAGTATACTTCAGTCAATCTGCTTGTTCTGTTCCCCACTCTGTCTCTGGTGAATCCTCTCATCTCCCCCACCCCCCACACCTCTGGCCTGTACCCCAGCTCTTAAATGCATAAATGGATAAATCTTTAAAAAATAAATTAATTAAATAAAATACAGGCCAGGGAGTTACAGTTCCACAGAGTAGTAAGATAACAAGCACTGAGAAAAAAGATCCTTTGAAGCATATGAATAGAAGATAATAGACACATGAGATAGAAAAGCCTAGTGTAATATAAAAGAATACTAGTGATATCTAAATAAAAAACTTGACAGCTTTCTTGAACATAAGATACACTATCACAGAAAAACATGGGAAGCTGTAAGAGAATTCTGATTCCCAAATTCTATAATCCAGAGATAACTGCTGTTAACATATTCGTATATTTTCTTCTTTTATATACAAAAATATATATACACTCATATATGTACACACATATTAAATATCTGTAAGACTCTATCATATGAATGTGTCATAATATAACCACGACCTACTGGTAGGCACTTAGGTTGTTTTTAACCTTTACAACTATAAATAATACTTCACTAAACAGTATTACACATAAATCTTTCAATTTCTAAATTCAGAGGTACTACTTCAAAAGATAATTTTTCAGGAAAAGTGTTTAAAAAACAGGGCCTCGGGCCTCCCTCGGTGGCGCAGTGGTTGAGCGCTGGGATGCGAAGCTGCCTGCAGCCTCTGCAGCGCCGGTTCAATCCCCGGCCACTGGGTGAGGGTCCCACATGGTGCGCAGACCTCTCCTGCTGCCCGCTGCTCCTCTCAGCAGTGTACTTCGGTCCTTCTGCCTGTTCTGTTCCCCGCTCTGGCTCTGGTGAATTCTCTCGCCCTCCCGTGCTTCTGACTGTACCCAGTGCTTGTATGAATAAATAAATAAATCTTTAAAAAAAAAAAGGAAAGAAAAAAGCTGACTTATAAAAAAAACAATCTTATAAAAAAAAAAAAAAAAGAAAAAAAAGAAAACAGGGCCTCCCCGGTGGCGCAATGGTTGAGCGCTGGGTTGCGAAGCTGCCCGCGGCCTCTGCAGCGCCGGTTCGATCCCCGGCTGCTCCCTGGCCACCGGCGGAGGGTCCCGCATGGCGCGCAGACCTCTCCTGCCGCCTGCTGCTCCCCTCAGCAGTGTACTTCAGTCCTTCTGCCTGCTCTGCTCCCTGCTCTGGCTCTGGTGAATTCTCTCACCCTCCTGCACTTCTGACTGTACCCAGTGCATGTATAAACAAACAAACAAATAAATAAAACATGCCTCTAAAAAAAAAAAAAAGTGTTTAGAAAACACCCAAATATCAACAAAAAAGCTATGGTCCAATAAGGTTAGTTGACTTGAATTATATTAAGAAAAAGAAATAAACATGAAATAAAAATTGTAAAGTACAATTAAATTCAAATTAATGTCTACAAACCTAATCAGCAAGCTTCCTTAATGAATCAAGCATGTTTCTCCTCCCTTTTGGAATCTTTAATACACAACAGATAACCCATCGATAGCTTATACTGTACAAAATTATCTTTTTTTAAGATTTATCCATTTATACATACAAGAGCTGGGGTACAGACCAGAGATGAGGGGGGAGGGGTGAGAGGATTCACCAGAGACAGAGTGGGGAACAGACTAAGTTATATGGCCTTCTAAAGGATTTACAAAATCTAAAATTTATTTTCACATAATTACAAAGTACTTCAAACCAGGATTTCCATAACAATGCTTCATCAGCATGAATTAATGTACCCATTTAAAACAATCTAACCATAGCTTTCCTGACACTATTGAAGAGATCATAAAAAGCAGGTCTCGGTTTTTGTTTTTTTTTTAAAGATTTTATTTTTATTTATTCGTACAAGCACTGGATACAGTCAGAAGTGCGGGAGGGTGAGAGAATTCACCAGAGCCAGAGCGGGGAGCAGAGCAGGCAGAAGGACCGAAGTACACTGCTGAGGGGAGCAGCGGGCGGCAGGAGAGGTCTGCGCGCCATGTGGGACCCTCGCCGGCGGCCGGGGATTGAACCGGCACTGCAGAGGCTGCAGACAGCTTCACAGCCCAGCGCTCAACCGTTGCGCCACCAGGGGAGGCCCAGGTCTCGGTTTTTAGACATTTTCTAGAAACCAGAAGTTAATACAAAAAACCATAATACTATACTAAAAATTAAAAATACTAAGGAATAAAAAACATAACAACTCTTATTAAAAACTGATCTCCTTGGAAAGTTTACCACAGTTAAATTATAAGTCTGTTTTGTTTCTAACATAGCAATTTGAAAAAAAATTTGCCTTATGTTTGATTGAATTTAAACATTAAAAACTATCTCTAACTTCATAAACAAGAGAAAAAAATTTTAAATGTTCTCTTCTCAGGCTCATCTATTTTTATATCATTATCATAGATATGACATTCCCCTTATATTTCTATACCTACAAAAGTGTGATCTGTATTTACTGTATTTCTTTCTAAGGTATTCTTAAGGCTCATAGGCCTCTAAAAATTCCAGAGACACTGAGTGAGCAGAACACCTGCTCATTACCTACCAACAATTTACATATTTGAGCAAATGTACTGTACATACCTTTATTAATTGGTCTATTATAATAAACCTCTGTATAAAAGTACTTTAAAACAACAAAAATGAATAATATACTTTATTGTTAGTAATGGTCCAATTTTTACTTTCATACTAAATAGTATAAAATATATAAACAACAACGCATTTAAGTTTATAGACTGGGAAAAACTTAAGACTCCAATCAAGTCTCACTACAACTACTTAACGAGACTATCCAAAGCCTTGTTCAGAAATCTGTCTCTGTCAAATAATTGATTTGGATTTGGAAATGCTTTATGTCGAGATTTTTATTGTTGTGCCATTTGTTGGACTAGGACTTGAATCCTAACAGGAACTATGACTATATAGTAGTTTATCTGGCAAACAAGCTCTGTATAATTAAAGCCTACCCATGTATTTTTTTTTTTAAAGAGGCATGTATTTTTATTTATTTATTTGTTTGTTTGTTTGTTTGTACATGCACTGGGTACAGTCAGAAGCATGGGAGGGTGAGAGAATTCACCAGAGCCAGAGCCAGAGCAGGGAGCAGAGAAGGCAGAAGGACTGAAGTACACTGCTGAGGGCAGCAGCGGGCAGCAGGAGAGGTCTGCATGCCATATGGGACCCTCCTCCGGTGGCCGGGGAGCAGCCGGGGATTGAACCGGCGCCACAGAGGCCGCAGGCAGCTTCGCACCCCAGCGCTCAACCGTTGCGCCACCGGGGAGGCCCAACACATGTATTAATACAGAACAGAAAAGGCTGTACAAGAATGTGATACCTACCCACATAGTGAATTTTACCAATATAAATCTACCATAAATAAAGACAAGTTGTTTTTATCTCTAATGAAAGAATTGCTGGCAAACATTTTAACCATTATGACTTAACCTATCGTGGAATTTCAATTATGATGTAATTTTTAGTGACCATCAGATGAAAATCTTCCAATAACCAACATTCTCACAAAAGCAATATAAGGGATATAGTTTAGTTGAATAGAACTGTCCTGTTTATCTCACCAGATTGATCAGTCTTCTCATCGCATGTTCATGAGAGCAAACACATTCACAAGGATCAAATCCACCTTCTGCCATGATTACCCAGCCTGATTTAACTTGACTGTTTAAATCTAGGAGAAAGGAAAAAATAGTGTAAGACTATAATTCAGAGTTACTCTTTTTCTTAAGCAACAAATATTTTGCATGTTACATAGATTCAAAACAGTGCCTTCAAACTATACTTTGTATTTATCTATGAATTTATTACTAATCTTACATGAATTATGAGCTTACCATATAAATTATGAATCTATACAAATGACTGGCTACTCCTTCTACCAAAAGACTGATTCCTTATTAATGTAATGTTTTCAGATGCATTATATTGGCCTCACATATGCAGCTCATGATAATACAAGCCCTACTGTGCTCAGCAACTTAATTCTTTAACATTGTCAGCACAAGTACTGCCATGGACTGAAGGCAGTATGTTGAAGCCTTATTATCCAGTATGATGGTATTTGGAGATAGGATCTTTGGGAGATAATTAGGTCATTATGTGATCAGTGCCCTTATAAAGAGAGATAAGAGAGTGATGATCTGTTTCTCTACCACATGAAAATACAGCAAGAAGGATCCATCTGTAAACCAGGAGAATTGCTTTCACCAGACACTGAATCTACCAATCCCTTAATTCTGGATATCCCAAAGTTTGGAACCATGAGAAAAGTTTGTTGTTTAAGTGACCCTCTATGGTATTTTGCTTTAGCAACACTAGCTTTTTGCAACACAACTTTTAAATAGCCTTTTTCCTACCAAAAATCTTTGAGGGAAAAAAATGTGTTATCTAAATTGATACCAAGGTTTACTGAGGAGAGGAGAGAACATTAACATGAATTAACATCAGCCAGGAAAATAGCTGGGAAGAATTTGAAAAATAGGATTTGTAAGTCAGAGGCCAAGACAGAATACTACTGTTATTTAAGATGGAATAGACAGAGCAATGAACAATTCACAAATTGACTTAAAAGAACATGGCTCATTCATTCATTAAAAAAATACTTAGCACTTGTGCTAAGCATTAGAAATATAAAACCTAAAACTGAGTCTTTCCTTAATAGTGTTCACATTCGAATGGTGAAGCAGATATTAATCCAAATGTTTCTTTTTTTTTTTTTAAAGATGTATTTATTTATGCATACAAGAGCTGGGGTTTAGGCCAGAGGTGTGGGGGGGTGAGAGGATTCACCAGAGACAGAGTGGGGAGCAGAAAAGGCAACTGACTGAAATACACTGCTGAGGGGAGCAGCAGGCAAGCCAGGAGAGGTCTTCTGCACCATGTGGGCAACTGCTCCCTGGCTGGCCGGGAAATGGAACTGGTGTTAGAGAGGCTGCAGACAGCTTCATAGGTTGTATCTTTAACCCCTTGAGCCACCAGGGAGGCCCCTAAATGTTTCTTTTTAAGATTTTATTTATGCATACAAGAACTGGGGTACAGGCCAGAGATGCAGGGGGTGAGAAGATTCACCTGAGACAGCATGAGGAACAGAACAGGTGGGTCAACTACAATACACTGCTGAGTGTACACCCTAAAAGTAAATATAATCTACCCTATATGTAAAGATTCACCTTGGAAATCTTTTCAAATTGTCCATATGGAGAAAATGGACTCAAACTGTGCTTCTGTGGATATAAAGTCCACTTACAAATACTGGTTTTTCCTTCCCTCCTATCCGTGCCTCCCCAGGCCAATAAAAAATAATTAAAATTAAAAGGCAGTTTACTAAGATTTTAAAAAATGAAATTCAAATACTAAAATGACAAATATCTACCCAATTCTATAGCCTCTGAAGACATAAATGTTAAGAAAGCAGTATTATTATTAATTATACTGGCTTTTTATAAAGAGAGGGAGAACTTGCTTTTATCACAATAAAAATGGTCCCTTTTAAATTACCCATAAAAATTATAAAACATGGTTATTTTTAAATCTCTTTAGTTCATTTGATTAACAAAATTAGATTCTACCACTACTCACCCCACCAATGGGGAAAAAAAAAAAAACAGCTTCTAGAAGATAGGAACCTATCTTAGTCATTACTCTGTCTCCAAACACCTCCCTCACTGTTTAAGCACAGCACTCGGTGAATAAATATTTACTGAATTCTTGACAATATTTATTTCTCTCCACCTATATATGCCAGCAACATGCAAATCGACTAGAATTTAAAGTATCCAACAGCCTTAATTAGCCTCCAGTAAAATGAGAAAATGTACTTAATCCATATGACGTTCCTCAGTAAGTGGAAGTTCCGTGGAACTTTCCTCATAAAAACTTGAGCTGTTTTAGGTACTGTTCAATTTCTAGATAATAGCTTCCATCTTTAAATTACTTGGGTTTTGTTGTGTTTTTTGTTTGTTTGTTTTTTGTAAAATTCTCTTTTAGCCAGGACCTCAGAACAAGTGTCAAAGCAAAGTGGTTAAGTGCTAGAGGAAAACACTCAACCATTCCCTCCCCCATATTTAAATCCCTGGTATCCAAACACATTAAGAAGCTGCTCTATCCTGAGAAAGACAACTGGGTTACTGAATCAGAATTCTGGTAAATCAACCTCAAACAGGCCTTTGATAGAAAGTGATCTGAAACAATGCTTTTGCCTTTTGTTGTTCTCCTCCTCAATATGTATATCCCTAATGTGAGAACAAAACTAAATAATATCAAAGTCAGGGGGCCTCCCTGGTGGCGCAAGGGGTTAAGCCGCAACCTATGAAGCTATCCTCAGCCACTAACATACTGCAAAATGGTAAATATTTTAAAAGTGCTTTTAACATGAAATGCTTGAGAGAATGTCATGAATTTTTTAAAGCAAATAACCTAATCATGTGCTAGATTAACACACAATAGCTTCTCACAGTAATTTGGAATGGAACTACCACTGCATGACTTTTATTTAAAATTGCCTTCTTTACTTCTTGCTTTACCAATGGTAAAGCAAGAGATAAGTGTGACAGAAGTAGAGAAACTAATTCAACAGGACTAAGGAAGATGTGGTCATGAGATCTGAATAAAAAACAAGACCTTCAAGATGATAAAAATTAAGAACTGAAAAAAAAAATTAAGTATACTAAGCAAAATGGCAAATCTAAGGTAATTTCTAAATAACTTTACAAAGAACAAATAAGTTAAAAAAGCCAACTCCTAAACTTTTTTGAACAGGTAAAGCCTAAAAGAGAATTCCCAAAAAAGGCACTACAACAAATTAACAAATATGAAAAAAAAGGTCACCCAAGTCATCAAATAAATACCAATTACAATGTGAACTTTCCCTTAAAAACAAAATACAATGAAAAGTAATTTTAGGGAGGAGGGACCTCAAGGTGATTTGTTGAGTAAAATAAGTCAAATACCAAAAGAAAATTAATAAAGAATAGTAGGAATAATCTTGAACTAAGCAAAAAAACAAAATAAAACAAAAAAAAAGGTTACCAAAGGGGAGGGGTGGGGAGGAAGAGATGGAGGAGAAAAGCAGACCGGGAATGGACACAGGTAGCTTGGTGGATGTGAAAGAAAAAAAAGGATAACCACTGACAGTTTAACAACAGAATTAAAAAAAAAAAGATTGATTGATTGTTTGATTGATTGATTGATTCAAGCACTGGGTACAGTCAGAAGCACGGGAGGGTGAGAGAATTCACCAGAGCCAGAGGGGAGAGCAGAGCAGGCAGAAGGACCGAAGTATACTGCTGAGGGGAGCAGCGGGCGGGAGGAGAGGTCTGCGCGTCATGTGGGACCCTCACCCTGCGGCCAGGGATTGAACTGGCGCTGCAGAGGCTGCGGGCAGCTTTGCAACCCAGCGCTCAACCGCTGCGCCACCAGGGAGGCCCTTAACAACAGAATTTTTAAAAAGGAAAAAGAATAAATGCTTTTATCTATACAGAGATGTTTGCAAATGATCCAAAATCCTAAAATACAAGTTCTCAAAAATAATTAAGTAAATGTGTACCTCTCGAAAGGGGGTCTAAGTAGTTGGGAAACAGAAAAGGAAAGTTTCCACCTTTAAAAAAAAAAAAGATTTATTTATTTATGCATACAAGAACTGGGGTGCAAGGGTGAGAGGATTCACCAGAGACAGAGCAGGGAGCAGAGTAGGTGGATCTACTGAAATACACTGCTGAGGGGAGCAGCCGGCGAGACAGAAGAGGTCTGCAGCGCCACGTAGGCCAGCTGATCTGCTTGAACTCATGCAACACTGGCTGGGGACAGCTTGATAGCACCGAGACTTTAACCCCTAAGCCCCAGTTTCCAGCTTTTGTCTTCTGAACTACTTAAAAAATTAACTTAAAAAAATAAATAAATAAAGTCTACAGCAAGTTTCTCGTTCTTCCTCCCCTACCAGAACCATTAGTGCTAGGGACAAAAAAATACATCCCAATTTTCTCCTGAACTGAATATGTTAATTGTCTAAACATTCTGATTATCTATCAAAACCTGAATTTGTTGGTTAGAGCTAAGAGATAGTAAAATGAACCAAATTCCAGCATCAATGAGAAATGACCAAGCACATAAACATATTATGGATGCTACAAAAATCAGTCTTTGCCCTAAATTTGAGGTGCTCAATCTTTGCAAAATCAGTTTTCAATCTTTATCTTTTCCTTACCCTACTTACTCTCTTTAACAATTACTCTCTTTAATAGTTAAAGAGATGTTGGGGGCCTCCCCTGGTGGGGCAGCGGTTCAGTGCTGGGTTGCGAGGCTGCCCGCAGCCTCTGCAGCGCTGGTTCGATCCCCAGCCACCAGTGAGGGTCCCACCAAAAAAAAAAAAAGAGATGTTGGACCTCCCTGGTGGTGCAAGGGATTAAGTACTGCAATATGAAGCAATCCACAGCCAGGGAAAAACCCACATGGCACAGCAGACCTCTCCTGTCTGGCCCACTGCTCCCCTCAGCAGTATATTTCAGTCAGTCTGCCTGTTCTGTTCCCCACTCTGTCTCTGGTGAATCCTCTCACTCCCCACATCTCTGTCTTGTACCCCATGTCTTGTATGCATAAATAAATAAATCTTTAAAAAAAAAAACAATTAAAGAGATGGTGCACATCACAAAATGCCTGAAGGTGGTTTCCTATGCT